CATTTGCAATATTTTTCAAAACATGATAAACAGTGGACAAAGGGATGCCTGTTCTACTTGAAATCACTTTAGCTGATCTGATGTCCTTGTTATAATACTCTAAAATCAACTTCTTCTTCTCTAAATCATCCATACTGAGGATCACTGAAAATGTTGTCTGCTAGCAAGTAAACAAAGGGGGATAACTCTTCACAAACTAATGAAAAAGGATTAACGGAGTTGTCTCTCTTGAATGAAACCAAGCACTTGATAGCTGGTCAAGGTTGTTTATACTAGAAATCCAGTTAAACATATTCCTAAAATTCTCAATAATTTCCGGTCATACTATAACTCTCCTGCACGACTGTATTGATCTCCTCCAAGACGTCTGCATGTGACAATGAGAATGCTTTGGGTGCTGGAAATACTGATTCCTGAATCAGCAGTGCTGGAAATTAACTTTTTGTCGAAGTAAAAAATATCATCATGCCAGATTTTTCTCGTAGGAGTTTCATTTTAATGGCCGCTGTGGAGATTCCAGTTTCCATTTGGTACCTTCTGACCTGTGCTTGGAAGGACGAATGAGTGAAGTGGTTGGGCAGGGTGACATAGCTGATTGCATGTACCTCAAGGTGAGGTGGTGAGGTGAGGTGAAATTGGGTTAACGTCGTGCTTGAGAATATTTCGCTCATATGACGGCGTGCATGCTTGTGTATGTGTATGTGCGGCTACTTGTACTAGCCCAGACTTACGCTGGTTTTATAGTGCTAGCCCACTGAGATACCATGCCACAGTGAAGCATGAATACCCCACTCAGACACATTATACTGACTCCGAGCTGACCAGTCCTTGTTGTACCCATTAATGCCGAGCGCCAGACAGAGACCAACAAGTACCATATTTGAACGTCTTTTGGTATGACGCGGTCGGCGATCGACCCCGCGACTTTCCGCTCTCCGGGCGGACGCTGTAACCACTACACCACGGAGGCGGTCCTGTACCTCAAGTGCGTACGATGTTGTAAAGTTGTCATCTCCCCAAAACAGTTATATAGCAACAAAATGCAATAAATGATTGAGTTTCGCCAAGTTATCGTCATCACAGATGTAAGCACTACAAATAATATTGAATATTGCGAAATTATCACCTTCCCAAAACAGTTGATAGCAACAAAATGCAATAAATGATATTAAGTATTACTACGTTTTCATCTCAATAAAACAGTTGTATAGCGACAAAACACAATAAATGATATTAGTTATCGCCTCCTAAGACTGACTGTATGGCAGCTGAACACTTCATCCATGTTGTTGAGTATTTCTGAGTAATTGGCAATATACCCACATAGCCCTTCAGCTACCCTCCAATGCTTGTTGAAGCTGTCAATGCATTCGCAGTCAATTTCATTTGGATAAGTGAAGGAAATTATCAGGAATATCAAACTCCCATTAGACATGCTAGAACCATGTAGCTTATTAACAGATTCTTGTTGATCATTCTCTCCAGCAATTTAGTAGTGTTTTGTGACACACCTCTTCCATGTATTTATTTACAGGAACTGTGATAACAGCCAACTTACGACTTAACTAGATGTAAAATGATATAAATACTTACAGGCCAACTAACACTTTACCTCTTAAAACAATTGGCTCAGCTTCAGGAATTGAGGATTCAGGAACCACTCGGCTGGAAATAGATTATCAGTTGCATTTTCGTTGGTATCAGTAGCTTGAAGCTCCTGAAAATGTAATAGACACTAAAAATATTGAACCAATGTTTTTTAAGAGCCTCCAAAAAGGTAACAAGTGTTACAAGTGTTTTGCAAACTGATTCACATAACCATTGTTTCCCTATAATGTTTTTTCAGTATGAACTGCCTTAATAAATATATTCTCATGGAAATGAATAAAGGAACACACGAAAGCGCATGTGTTCCTCTACTCTTTTCCAGGTTTCTTGCCATGCTTTACATTGCACTGTGGGTGAAAATCTGGAAATGAATAAAAGAACACTTGTACTTTCATGTTTTCCCTTATTCGTTTCCATGGGTATACATTGTAAGGACGTACTCCTGAACTGAATTAGCATTAGGGCTGCGCAATATAACCGGTTTACCGGTATTTACCTGTTCAGACATGAAAACGATACGTATTGTGATACACTGATCGAAAACCGGTATTTTGACTTGCATTCGTAAAACTACATAACAGTCGGAAATCTTCAGATATTTCCTTGTTTCATTTGTGCCAAATATTATTTACATTTGTTATTAATTATTTTGTTGTGTTTTTGCTCTGTAAATCAAGCATTAACTCGATTAGAAGTAGTGTTTTGTTTAAAAATACTTCATGCAATATATTGCAATACATATCGTAATATATTCTTTCACATTACAATATATCGCAATGTGAAAATCCTCTGCAATACCCACCCGTAATGGGCACACAGATTGTATGCAAAAAAGAGAAGTTTAAGAAATCCTGATGCTTTCCTCTTACTGTTAATCTTGTCATGCTATGAAATACTGAGGTGGGTGGTTAAGGCATCCATGCATTTGTTCATCATTCCAGGATTCCACATGGGCACATTGTGTGAAGCCCGTTTCAGGTGTGCCCCTAGACTAACAACTAGTCTCTAAAATGAACATATTTTACTGAAAAAAGTTCATAGTAAAAAAAAAAATATATAATGAAAAGGAGCCCTGAGACTTTCTTCATTTTCAGAAGCTGAGGAAATCTAGACTTGCCACATTTTCTAGACTTGTGTGGGCTTTCTTGGATATATTTGCTTCAGGGTCTGTACGAGAGACTAGTGTGCCCCCAGCTGTGATATTACTAGAATGTTGCAGAATGCGGAGTAAAACCATTCTCACTCACTAATTAACCGGTATATACTACTCAAAAGAAAGAACAACCAAATTCTTTCTTGTTACTGTGGTTTATCTATCATCAGAGATTGCCAGTAGAAATATGAAAGAATTAGGTGTTCTTTAACTTAGGGACCGTTCATAATTTATGGCTAGGCGGGGTGATGATGTATTTAACGGGGGATCACCCATTTTGTTCTGGGGAGGTAGGGGGTTGGGGTCATCAATTTTGTACACATGTACTAGGGTGGGTCAGCAATTTTGTACATACGAAACGAATTTTAAATAAAATATATGCTTAAAAATTCTGGGAAAGGGGTGGGGGGTGAGGTTTTGTCATTAAAGTTGTCCTTGACATACACTTAGGGGGGGGCATTCACATTGTACATGCTTCTCCATAAAAATCATCATCACCCCTCCTTGCTATAAAGTAGGAACGGTCCCTTATTTTAATTTTTTTTTACGTCCAGATTGATCATCTAAAACAATACATTGAGTTACAAACGATTTTGTTTTTATGTTTTCTTAGATTCCCCAATCCTCAACAGGTACCATATGTGTATATTCAGAGGATAGCAAGCTCAGAGAGGGAACTAAGCCACAATCTAGTTGTTGCACAGCATTTAACTACATTCTGTCGGGTTATGGTGGAGAACAGGCCTTGTTAGGACAAATCCCCCTGTGTGTGCTACTTCTGATTGATTAGGTTTAAGTAGGAAATAGCCTTGGTTGAAATCCCTTGGTCGAAATCTCTCCTGTGTATCCTCAGCACTGTTTTCCTCTTAGCCTTAGGAGCAGGACCATCAGCCCCTTCAGCCCAAACTGTTCAGGCTTAGAAATGGGATATGCTCCCAGCTTTGAGAATCCTTTGTACAAATTGTTCCTGGCATTCTTTGAAAGGATGATATCTTCCCAGCTTTTGGAATCCTTTGTACAAATTGTTCCTGTCAGACTTGGAAAGGGGGATATCCACCCAGCTTTGAGAATCCTTTGTACAAATTGTTCCTGGCATTCTTGGAAAGGGGGATATCTTCCCAGCTTTGGGAATCCTTTGTACAAATTGTTCCTGTCATGGAAAGGAGAACATCAGCCAAGTTTTAGGTATCCTTGGTTCAAATTGTTTGTCTAAGCCATGGGACTCGAGGAGAACATCAGCCCAGATTTTAAAATTCTTTATACAATTTTTTTCTGTCAGTCATGGAAAGAGGAGCATGAGCCTGGCATTAGAAAATCCTTGGTACATTTTGTCCCTGTCCCAGGAAGGAAAACATTGGCTCACATTGAGTATTCTCAATAAAATGTGTTCCTTTGAGAATCCTAGATTGTTCCTGTCAGGGTGAACTCTGGCTCAACCTTTAATATCCTTGGTACAACAAGTTCTCCTCTGTCCTGGGAAGTGGAACATCAGCTAAGCTTTGAGAATCCTAGATTGTTCCTGTCAGGGTGAACTCTGGCTCAACCTTTAATATCCTTGGTACAACAAGTTCTCCTCTGTGCTGGGTAGTGGAACATCAGCTAAGCTTTGAGAATCCTAGATTGTTCCTGTCAGTGTGAACATTGGCTCAACCTTTAATATCCTTGGTACAACAAGTTCTCCTCTGTGCTGGGTAGTGGAACATCAGCTAAGCTTTGAGAATCCTAGATTGTTCTGTCAGTGTGAACATTGGCTCAACCTTTAATATCCTTGGTACAATGTGTCCTCCTCTGTCCTGGGAAGTGGAACATCAGCTAAGCTTTGAGAATCCATGGTACAATGTTTCCCTTAGACTAACGTTTAGTCTCTGAATATATAATTTTGATAGTAACAAACAAGCCCATTTAAATTGAAGGAGCCCAGGGAGACCAGAGATTCAGAGCCTAAACCTGAGGAAATCTAGACTTGCTTTATTTAGGGAGTAAGGAAAATAATGTGGTTCAGGGACTGTGAGACAGACGGTTTCCCTCTGAATATTGGCCCAGCCTTGACTATCTTGAGCTACAAATGTTCATCTAAGGCTTGGTGCGTCTGAACATTAAATACATACAACATTTATTAATGCCACACTTTTTCCCATAAGCCTTTTTGTTGATTCTATAAGATTGTTACAGTAAGACTTTGCTACTGAAAATCAACATGGTCAAAACTTGATTTCACATGCATGTCCTTCTTTTTCAGGAAAGGTGTATAACATCACACCCTATCTGGAGTTTCATCCTGCCGGCATTGATGAACTCATGAGAGGAGCAGGGAAGGACGGGACACAACTCTTTGATGAGGTAATGTATTTCACATCTATTGTCTACAGTTTGCATCGTAGTTAGAGTATCAGGTATTGCCATCCTTTGTCAGAAGAAGGGTATCTTCGATTTGTCAATTTGTCACTCTTTGGCTCATCTGAGATTTCACACATCATCCAAGTGCTGATTTCATCATCTTAGTGCTGATTTCATCATCTTAGTGCTGATTTCATCATCATAGTGCTGATTTCATCATCTTAGTGCTGATTTCATCATCTAAGTGCTGTTACAGAAGTGATATTATTACAGAGATGGCAAACACAAACCATTTGTCACACTCTGGAATTTCCAGGTTTTAGAATCTATCCAGTACAAGGATGTGTCAATGCCAGGGAAGACCTACTCTTATGCTTGACTTAGACAGTTGTCTATGTTACACAAGATGCATGACTACCCTGCAATACTATGAGTCTTGATGTGGTGTATGATATGCTTAGACACAGTACCTCGAGGAAAGACGTCCTCTCAGGTGTAATCTTGACAGTGGTTTATTTAACACTTAGATGTACAATCAGAAAGATGAACTATCAGGTGTAACCTTGACAGTGGTGTATTTAACACTTGGATGTGTGACCATCTCGAATCCAGTGAAGCTGAAACTGACATGTAATGAAATTTGAATTTGATTTTCAATATGGCCGCCATAACAGCCATACTGAAACCAACTTTATGAAAAACTGAGATTTGGCTTTAAAGTTTGGCTTTATTTGACCTTTGACGTTTGCCTTTAGATATGCTTCTAAACTCCCTGAAAATGTATATTTAGGTCTGTAAATATCTTCTCTGAAACTGCCAGACTGACAAAGCTGAACTGATTATCATCATATTTTGTTCCATTAGATGTTGGTGTTAGTTGTCAGACCTCAGTTTTATTACAGCAAATGTAACAGCAATTATGTTCACATGCCTTTCTTTGTTGACAATTCAAACCATTGACCTGTTGTGTCAAGGAGAGAGCTACCATGTCATAGCTCTATTCTTAAGTTCATATGATAAAATGATATAATTGATATAGACTGAAGGTTTAGTTGAGTCTACAATATTTTTGGCTTCATGCTGCGGGATGAAGCTTTCAATTCCTGTGTTGAGGTCATGAGTTATCCTCTTGATGTCTCCAGAAAAATGTAGTTTGAATGCTTTTCAAAAATACAACTGAAATTCTTTTGCTTGCTTGAATCTTTTTGTGATGTGATATGAGAACTCCATGAACCATTTCAATCTGGACGTATTTTTCAACTTGATTCTGGTGTACATCACCATCAAGGTGAAGTTTTTGTAAGTGCGCCATGCTAGCCATCGTCGCGAGCAGCGTCATTGAAAGACACCAAGCAACGTAATCAATACTGATCTTCCTAAATCAGTAGCACAATCCACACTGACTGACAGTCCAATTTCAAAGGCTTGAGAATTAATTTCTTATGAAATTCTTGGATATTAGATGGGTCAAGTTATCTAGTTATCATTGGAGAGAAAATGCTGTTTCCATGGCTGTGTCTTGACCACAGTTGGGATGTTTGTATACCATGTGTGATCCTCTGTCAAGTGATAAGGAGAATACAGGGATTGCTGTTGAGGCGAGTTAGGGAGAGATGCATTTGGTTCAGGGCTTGAGTATAAAGCAACTGCTTCATCTCTGTCAAATACTGGAGGAAATGATAATTTTTACATTTGGTCATTATGGACACGGAGGAGAGTGGAGCTGGCTTGAAGTGTGAGATAAGGAATAAATGCTGTAGAAAAATATAAATTTTTACACTTGATCATTATGGACATGGGGTAGAGTGGAGCAGGCTTGAAGTGAGAGATAAGGAATAAAGATTGATAATGTAATTACATTTTTAGAAGTAAGTGTGGCACTCGCAGTACATAAATGTTTAAACTTGGATAAATATAGGTTGTTGATGGGTTGATTCAAGATGATACCTCTTAGTGATATTCGCCTTTTTATGTCAAGTGAAGCTGTTGAAGTTATGATATTTGCCCTGTCCCACTTCTCACTGATCTGAGATGTTTTAAAGATATTTCTATTTAATTTAGATGTTATTAAGCTGTGTTTTTTAAGATGTGAGATGTTATTAAGATGTGAGATGTTATCTTGTTTTGATTTGTTTTAGATGTGTAATGTTATTAAGATATCAGTTGTGTAACGGTCTTTAGATATCAGATTGTATTTAGTTGTGTGGTATTTTTAAAATATCTGATGATATTTTTGTATGCTCGAATGTTGTTTAATGGCATAATCAGCAGTTTTCCAGCCTACTGACAGCGCAGGCCATTAACTGAGCTTCGACAATCCAAAATACATTGAACAGCAAACCATTGGTATGAGTTGAGATGTATGACAAGTGTGATGTGACAAGTAGGATATGACCTGTTCGATATGACATGTATGATACGAAAAGTATGAAATGACTAGTGAAGCTGATTCTGACTGCCAGATCTACTTGATGTTGCTCATGTGACAATCATGAGGTACTGGGGACCTGCTCTGACCAAGTGACTGAGTGAGTTTAGTTTTATGTCGCACTCAGCAATATTCCAGCTATATGGCGACGGCCTGTAAATATTTGAGTCTGGACCAGACAATCCAGTGATCAACAGCATGAGCATCGACAGGGGTGGAAATACCTTTAAAATTGATAGTGTACACGTGTAAAGTCACTTGCCCTGATAATTTTTCCACTTTACCGACTGTTTTCTTGCTGATTTTTTAAATAAACAACATAATTAACATTGGAAAGTCAACTGGACAACGGTACAGTGGGATATACAAATTTTCTTGCCCGACAGAAAAAAACACTGGACTCGGACGTCGGGCAATGGGTTATTTCCACCCCTGATCGATCTGCGCAATAGGGAACCAACATGTTTCGACCAAGCCAGCAAGCCTGACCACCCGATCCCGTTAGTCGCCTCTTTCTCTGACCAAGAATTCTCATGGGAATGTTACTGAGAGTGGAATTCACTTTCAGTGCATGTTAGAAATGTTGAAGTTACACAGCAAATACAACCCAGTTTCATGCACAATAACACCGCCTCTGTGGTGTAGTGGTTAGAGCGTCCGCCCGGAGAGCGGAAGGTCGCGGGGTCGATCCCCGACCGCGTCATACCAAAAGACGTTAAAATACGGTACTTGTTGGTCCCTGCCTGGCGCTCGGCATTAATGGGTACAACAAGGACTGGTCAGCTCGGAGTTAGTATAATGTGTCTGAGTGGGGTATTCATGCTTCACTGCGGCATGGTATCTCAGTGGGCTAGCACTATAAAACCAGCTTAAGTCTGGGCTAATACAAGCAGCCGAACATACACACGCATGCACGTCGTCATATGAACGAAATATTCTCAAGCACGACGTTAAATCCAATTTCACCTCACCTCACCTTCATGCACAATATGGTTGGTGGCATTTCCTTTGCACATGGAAATCATTGTGAAGTTGGATAGCAATCTCAAAGGTCTACCTGTAGTCAGGCAGGTAAATGTTTGCTTTTCTTATCGACCTTCTACAATATTCTAAAACCCATTCTTGTGATCCCAGTATGTGAAGTGCCATAATGGTTAGTACTTTGCTTAAGCCCTTCCAGCACCGAGTGTGTGAGATACATTTTCCTTTAATACTTCTCAATACCCTTTTCCAATAAGTGCCCCATAGCTTGTGGGCAGTCACACCGACAATACCTTCCACCTACTCAGTGCTGCCTCGTATCAAGTGGGTGTTTGAATTGACAGACATGGGTCACTTCTTGCCCCGAGGTGTCTGATCCATGTTAAGGGTAGTAATCATGCAAGCGAATATTTCTTATCTTTAATAGTTTGCCTGTACAGTGATCCTCAAGAGAGTTGATGCTCAGTGTCTGGAAATGCTATTTCCTGGACAGTTGCTCTTGTAGACAGATTAACATGAATACTCGTGATTCATTGATATGGATTGTTTCTAATGCAGATTATTTCAGATGGAATGCTTCCATGCAGACTTTGATTCACTTTATGCCTTAATATTCATGTTTTCCTTACCCATGAAGATCAGGGTTGCTACTGGTCTTCAGCAAGTCATGGTTGTTGTGGGAGGTCACTCATGGGATCAGGTGGTCTGACTCACTAACTTGGTGGATGCAGGTCATCATATCTAATTGTGTAGATGGTGCTCATGATGTCAGTCACAGGATTGTCTGGTCCAGACTTGATTATTTACATCATCTTCAATGTATGTTGCTGAGTGCAGTTTTAGACAATACCACCCTCTTTCCACGCAAGCACGAACATACTTCTCCATGTTTTCCTGTTCACAAGGATAGACACAGTGCAGGGCATGTCAAGTGTGGTGTGAGGGCTTGCTCTTGGGTTTGACTCAGGGTTGTGTTAGAGTTATTGGGGTTTTATAAGGGTTGTGCCAGAGTTATTGGGGTTGTATAAGGGTTGTGTTAGAGTTATTGGGATTGTATAAAGGTTGTGTCAGAGTTATTGGGGTTGTATAAGGGTTGTGTCAGAGTTATTGGGGTTGTATAAGGGTTGTGTTAGAGTTATTGGGGTTGTATAAGGGTTGTGTCAGAGTTATTGGGGTTGTATAAGGGTTGTGTCAGAGTTATTGGGGTAGTATAAAGGTTGTGTCAGAGTTATTGGGGTTGTATAAGGGTTGTGTTAGAGTTATTGGGGTTGTATAAGGGTTGTTTCAGAGTTATTGGGGTTGTATAAGGGTTGTGTCAGAGTTATTGGGGTAGTATAAAGGTTGTGTCAGAGTTATTGGGGTTGTATAAGGGTTGTGTCAGAGTTATTGGGGTTGTATAAGGGTTGTGTCAGAGTTATTGGGGTTGTATAAGGGTTGTGTCAGAGTTTTTGGTGGTGTAGGATCTACCGGTTGTACAAGATTACCATTAGTTTTCATTTCTTGACTCATATCCAAATGGCTACAGTTTGTCAACAAAGCCCATTTTCTATATACCTGTTGTCCTATAGTATTATAAACTGCAACATTGCTGTTG